AGTAGTCTCTGCTTATCACGCATCTTGATATGCCGAGATTCGTCTCGCTGACCCCGCAGCAAGCCGAACGGTTCGTGCGACTCCGGGTGTCTACGTTCCGAATGACAACTCTAATAACGACAATGAGCAGCAACATCACAGTGCCACATGTGAACGAGAACTGCCAGGGTCGCGAAGGACGGCCTCGACGCTCTTCCCATCGTTCAATGTCAGTCACGCAGGTTAACAAGCTTAGCAGGAGAGTCTGCAGGCTGCGGGACAAATCGTGTACCAGCCACGAAATGCATCATGAGGCACGGAATCCACCAGTCATTACCAATCACGCCTAACGTTGCCTGCGTTGACAGGTTAGCCATGTGGATAAAATGCTGGCAATCATCAACATAATGCTAAGAGGATCATAACCGACATGCTATCAACGAGTAATGTAATCGCAACAACAGCGTAATACGCTATGATGCGCCACATGTGATGACCGCCAGCACCAGGTGCGGGTCGTGCCATAGCGGACAAGTGCTGACCATGTAGTCTGACTAGGTAAGCGTCATCACCCTCGTGCTGCCTGTCATTGCACGATCGGAGCGCTACAGGTCAAGCATTGAAGGAATCGACGAACTGCATCTGCACCTCGCTCGTATTTGGCTGTGCCTCGGTATCATATGCCCACTGTGTCGGTCTTAAGAAGACTTGACAAGGCTAAACTCACGTAATGAAACGAAGGAAACTAAATCATACTTGAATGGGAACGTGGTTCTTTACATCGTGAGCACCATGGCGGAATTACAGGAGACCAAAGTCTTCGTCTGTTGGTTGGTTGGTTGGTTGGTTGGTTGGTTGGTTTGTTCCTACTCGGTTTCAGCCGCGAAGTCCGCAGCTATGCCCGGATGCAAAGGGTTGGCGGACAGCCGACGCGTTGCTGAATACATCAGCACCGCCCCACTTCACCATACCGATGGTATAGCCAGCTGTCCCCTCGCCCATGCGTGGTCTGGCTTCTATCTACGACTATGTGCATTTCGTCTCTAGAAGTGACGTGTTTGCCTGTCTGTATGTTTCCTCGAATTGTCTTCCTGTGTGTATGCCGTACTCGAAGCCTCATGTGTGTAACGTTGTTTCAAGGCTCGTCGAGGCACGTTTGCCTCATGCTTTGCGACCGCTATACCTTCAGCCTGCCCCTAGCATTTAGCTGTCGTGTGCTAGCTTGCCCCCGTGCCCCCCAAGGCTTGAAATATGTTACCCGCTCTCCGATGTTCTTTGAGTGTTATGATGCCGTCCACTAGGTTCCTATGCGGCTGCGGTATGTGGTGTGACCTGCCGCCGAGCGCAGCGGCAGCAGCATTTTGTCGTGACGCAGCTTCACGAGATCGATGCTCCGCTCGTGCGCGCCATCGACTCAACTGAGCATGAGGGCCTCCGCGCGAATCCCTCACACCTTGTCGGGTGTGTCAAAGGGGCACCACTCCTTCGACACAGTGGAGACGGCTGTAGACGAGGCTGTCTGAAGATCTGTATGTATTGTAGGCACCGATGGTAGCACGCCAGATGTCTGTGAGTTGGTTCGCGCGAGAGGTGGTGTTGTTCAGCCCGAGGGCTCGTCGATGCGGGACGTTGCAGGCATTGTCGGATGGTGATGGGCTGGCCAGAAAGCCCATCAGTGACTGTTGTGTGTGTGTGTGTGTGTGTGTGTGTGTGTGTGTGTGTGTGTGTGTGTGTGTGTGTGTGTGTGTGTGTGTTGTGACTGTTGTACTCAAGACGTATCTGGGCTCCGTCGCCACGTCTTGTGTTGCTGTGTCGCGGCTAGATGGCTGCCGCTGCATTTGGTGGACGTGTCATGTTAAGTAGCTTGCTCGCAGTTTGTGTGTCCGTCTCTGCCAGGGCCACAACGGCGGCTTTACAGGTACCAGATCGACGCGGAGGGACGCGCGATGGCCTGTAGTGATTGTTGCGGCCACTGGCAGTATGTGCTTTGATGCTTTTGTGATGTGATTTCCAAAAATTGAGTTTTCGTTTGTCGTGTTTTTTCTTGCACTTGTGGTTCACGTTAGTGTCAACAGGTTTACAGATGGCTTACACAGTATACTTAAGCCAAGAACCGCAGTACCTCACTAATCTGGTGCATCCATTTTCTGTGCATCTCTTCCCATTTTGCGTATGCCGTCGTGATGCAGATGGCTGTGAAATGTACGATTCGGCATGGTATGGTGATGGCGTCCCATGCGCTGCTGCCCCGACAACGAGCGCAACAGCCCAGAGCGAGCAGCCGCAAGCCAACAGCTCATCGAATTGTTCAACGCGACACTTGAAATCGTCGTCATCCTCTTGCACATGTGTCATGGACGCCTTACCCACTTACAACATCAATTAATCGCCATCAGACACTCCTCCAAAGGATGCAGCGCTGTCTTCGTGGTGCTCAGACGCGCGCAGCGTCGACAGCTGGCTAGACATGGTCTTCGCAGCCCGCGGCCAGTCAAGCCAGCGCCCCGCCTGCGTTGCAGCAGCATGCTCGCAAGCCGTCCGCTATGCCGCCAATTCGCGACCCTCGACTGCCACACGTACGCGCAGACGACAGATGCCTCCTCGCAGCAGACACCCAGCGGAACCGCGATTGACACGCAGACAACGGACCGAGATGAGCCTGTCGAGGCCGGCGTCGCAGCCCTGCCTATCGCCGAGGAAGGCGGGGACTATGAAGCGGTAAACAACACGCGCATCGCACAACGGTCCTCACCCCGACAGCCCAACCTCGTCGCCCTGCCACCAGCCTCGTCTGCAAACAACTGGATGTCCGCCCACACGCAATCGCAAAGCTCCTGGTCCGCCCACACGCCCGCAGACACCGACAGCATCGTCACAAAGACCACAGCCACGTCCAGCTCGAGTAAGAGGGACCATGGCCGGTCAAAGAGCCCCGTCAAGAGCATGGTCGATCTCGCCTTGCTGGATCGAAAGGTCGAGAGGGTTCACATGGCGATTAAAGACTACTCAGACACGATACGCCAGTTGATGCGCAACATACGAGATATCCAACGCGGAAAGGGCATGATACCCCACGAAATCAGGCCTGCCGTGGAGAGGCGTGAAGACGTCGAGGCAGAGGAATGGTGGTGGAGCACGACTTCCAGCGCACTCTCTAAGAGCAAACTGCTCGTTGAACTTGAGATGGATGGACGAGGTCCTCTGTGAGACGCACAAGCAGCATGATGAAGCCGCCGCAGAGCCAGGTTGGAACGACAAAGTGCACTCCCTGATACTGCGCCAGGTGTGCATGCATCTCGCCGGCATCGAGTACCAGAATATTACTACCGCCCGGCCAGACCCCCGCCTCGTCCCAAAGACAGGCCTCGCTCACACCGAGTCCAAACTCGTCGACTATGCCCTGGTCTGCGACAAGACCCTCATTCCGCCCCATGTCGTCGAGCGCATCCTCGCAGACACCCGCAACGGCATCGACAGCATCAACCACACGCGTGACAGCGTGCAGAGCCTACGCCGAAACCCAATCGCCGTCTCCTTTGAAACAAAGACACCCAACGGCAGCGAGTCTGAAGCTCTGACCCAGCTCTCCCTCTGGGCCGCCACGCATTTCAACCGTCTGCGCACCCTCCTCCCACCCGGCAAGAGCGACGTCGTGGCCATGCCGTTGCCGCTCATTATGGCCGTGGGTGGACGGTACAGTTTGCTCTTCGTTATTGACGGGTCAATGGGGCAAGGGATTCGTGTTTTCGGTGGAGAGGCGGCATTTGGGGATTGTGCAAGCTTGGAGGGGTGTTACCAGGTTCTTGCCGGGTTGAGGAGGGTGGGCGAGTGGGTGAGGGAGACGTGGGTGTCGTGGTTTGTGGGCGAGTGCTTACGCGGAGGTGGGGGGAGATGAGGTGTGGTTGTCGCTATGCAGGCGTGTTAATGTTTTGTCGGTTACTGTATAATTCTCTCAAGTGTGCTGTGTTCTATTCCTTAAAGCCGTTTTTTACCATCGCGACTCATTCCCACTCTGCATACGATGTACAAATCTAGATTTGTCGCTTGTGGACTTGCATGTACAACGTTACAGATATGACGTATCTTCCACACATTAACTGAAGAGAGAGAACTTGAGTGTTGTCGTGGTCCATTGCGTCTACTTCTTCAACCTCAAAATACATCTTGTTTGATCACAGATGCATGTACCGTGTCCGTGCGCGTGATGCGCCACTTCGCGTAATGGGCCACCCACACCAAAACACCCAAAGTTCACAACCTCATAACTCCACCACTATGCCTCCAATTGATGACGTGCTTGCAAATATAGAATCGCTACAGCCTAGCGAAGGATCTTATTAGTGGAAAATAGCACAAAAATTATCGTGTTTCTCGCTCAACTTTAACGCAAAAGTACCAAGCTACAACACAGACGCATGCAACCAAGGCAATCAATCAACAAAAACTAAGCCCACAACAAGAGCAAGAGCTTGTACAATATGTTAAAGGGCTTACAAAGCGACGTATACCACCTACACGAGAGATGATACGACATTTCACGACGAACGTGGCTCACGAGCCTTTGAGCGAGAGCTGGGTTATTCGCTTTATCAACCGACACAGCGACCACCCTGTCTCACACTGGGCGACGGGCATGGACCACGATCGCCACCAGGCTGATTCAGAGGCCAAATACAGCCTGTACTTCGATCTCTTGCGTAATAAGATCAGCCAATACAACATTGAGCTGCGTCACACGTACAATATGGACGAAAGGGGCTTCTTGATTGGTACCACCGTCCGCTCAAAACGGGTGTTCAGCATACGTATGTGCAAGAAGAAGGAGGTTACAGCATCTCTCCAAGATGGCTCACGTGAGTGGATTACCCTCCTGGCGTGCGTGTGCGCCGATGGATTAGCGTTGCCGCCAAGCCTCATCTATCAAGCTACTATTGGATTGATACAATCGAGCTGGGTGGAGGATATAAAGACATGAGAACACTCAGTACACGTCACCTCATCACCGTCAGGCTGGACGAACAACGATATCGGGCTGGCCTGGCTTGAACAGGTGTTTGATCGCTACACCAAGACAAAGGCGCGACGGTCTTACCGCCTACTTATTCTCGATGGTCATGGATCTCATGTTACAATGGATTTTATTGAGTACTGCGACCAGAACAAGATCCTACTAGCCATCTTTCTGCCCCATTCAACCCATACGCTGCAGCCGCTCGACGTTGCCCTGTTTAAGCCTCTAGCAACAGCGTACTCATTGGAGCTTACAAAATACCTCCACAGTGGCCAGGGGCTGTCAGTTATCAAGAAGAGCGACTTCTTCCACCTGGTCTGGAAGGCCTGGATGAGCACGTTTACTCAGGGGCTGATACTTAGGTCTTTCGGGGAAACGGGTATATCACCCGTCCAGCCCAACGTTATCCTCCAACGCTTTGCTAAGGGTACCCCTGAGGCCTCTGATAGCAGCACAAGCTCTTCTTCAGTCTACTCCGGCAAGGATTGGCTCAAAATAGAGACTCTGTTACGCAAAGTTGCCAAGGATGAAGGCAGTAAGGAGCTGAAGAAGATTAAGCGCTCGCTCCACCATATCTCAATTCAAAACTCGCTCCTCCACCATGAGATAGTAGGCCTTAAAGAGGTTCTCAAGACTCAGAAGAAGCACAAGAAGATGAGCAAGCCTCTTGGGCTTGAGCATCACAAGGACTATCATGGTGGAGCAGAGTTCTACTCTCCTAGCAGAGTAGAGAAAGCACGCTCAGATGAGAGGACCAAACAACAAAATCAGAGGGCAGAAGAACTCAGAAAAGCTGAGACGGCTAAGCTGAGGCACGCTAATAAGCTATATAATGAGAGGATAGCTCGGGAGAGGCGTGAGCAGCGGGAGAAGGAGAAGGCAGAGCGAGAGCGAGTCAAAGCTGAGAAGCTAAGGAAGTAGCTGAACGCAAGACTCAAAGAGAGCGTGATAAGCAAGCTCGTGACGCTGAGAAAGCCGTACAATTGCCCCAAAGAGGCGAGCGGAAGGCTTCACAGTCTGCAGCACCCAGAAAGAAGCAGAACTGTGGTGCAGTGGCTGCGCGGCGTGGTGTTGTTGCTGCAACGCCTCCCCCAGCACCTCGCACCCACAAGACCCGCAGCGCCAGAACAGCAACTCTATACAACTAGTATGTATAAGAGAATATTGTCGCATAGGCCTATAGAGCACTCTACTTAAATATCTCGTGATAATAGCTATTGTATGTGGGTCTACAGCCTCATTTTTGCAGGTGCGCGTTGGGGTAGTTCGGCGCATTACGCGAATCCGCGCATCACGCGCACGGACACGGTAGCGTCTTTCCGACGCGGGGGCTGACCCAAGCCATCATGCTTCTTTCTCTATGCACCGGCAGCCATGCGCCATGGACTACAACATCACTTGTACGTAGCATCTTCTTTGCTCTATACGTCAACACTTGATCCCCAACTCTGCGCTTCATGCCTCGAGCTCCGCCTCGATGACGCTTTCAGCGACACCAGGGTAATTGTAAATCTTCAAGAATTTCAAACCAGCCTTCTCGAGTATCGCCTTCCAGTCCGCTTCCGTTCTCTCGCGTACAGCAAAATGTGCCAGCATCATCATGTCCATTGAGGTAGCGGCGATGGTAGGCTTCTCCTCTGAGAGCACAATCTCGTTCAGCAGCACCCGCGAGTAGCCGGGCTTAAGCGCCGGCTTCAGATTTTCAATAATCTTGATGCCTTCCTCATCGCCCCAGTCGTGAATGATCGAGTGCAGCGAGTACGCTCTTGCTGCTTTGACAGGCTGGGGAGTAAAGAAGTCGTGAGCCTGGCTTTCGAACGGAAGCTTGTCTTTGTCCTGAATGCTTTCGATGACCGGCTCTCGATCTTGCACAACGACCTTTCCGGGGTGCGATTGATGTTGCGCCACGAACTGCTGGGCATCGTGACCACGACCACCACCGACATCCACAAGAAGCGCCTCGTTGTTGCTCGAGTCGAAACCCTCAATCAGACGCTCAGCAACCGGGTAGAAGCCCGGATCGTACCAGTTCGCCTTTCCAGCGCGGTACGCCGACATGAAGTTGTCAAACTCATCCAGATGAGGAGGCGTCGCGGCCAGCCATGAAAAGAACGGCAACTCTGTACCATGGGCGGCCTGGAAGGGACCATCCGTAAGCGAGGTTGGTAGCTCGTAGCCGGTCTTCTTGAAGAACCCCGGGAAGCCATTGAATGAGGGCCGCGCTACGTCGTAGCAGAAGTCGATGCTCTTTTGGTAGTTGTTCGCTGCGAGCCCGTGGCTCAGGCGTGTTCCGAGGAACTTGCCATTGGAGAAGAAAACGATCTTCATGGCGACGAGGTGACGCATGATCCGTTGCAACAGTACCGAGTCGACGCCCGTCTTTTGGGCAAGATCGTCAGGATTGACACCTGCCTCGCCTGCATCTCTGAGGTGCTGGAAGAGCTTGACTTGGACGGCGAACTTGCAGTGCGCTGACATCGCCGGCTGCGGGATCATCAGCAGAGTCGCAAAAGCACCGGACCTGATTACTAACCTCAGCCCAGAAGCTCCTCTGCAGGAACTCACTCGGAATTTCGAGAGCTGCTACCAGATCTCGACCGAGTTCAATAAGGTTTTCTCTCGAGCCGATCTCATCACCTTCATAAGCCTTGCCTGCTGCCGCGATGCGCTCGAGAATAGCTGATACTGGTGTCGACATGTCTGGTTTTGTTGAAGTCGAACTCTGTTCTTTCAGCCATGCAAAAGGAGGCGTTGAGGACCCTTTTACTGTAGTTCCACGCCCTTACGGACGGCAACCGTTTCTCGGTGCGGCTCCTGCCTTCCTATCGCGCCATGCGCCGGCATGCACATGACTCGATCTGCCGCCCATTTTCCAGCATTTTTCAGTGCTTATGCGATGCCTGAGGTTCAATAATCGGATCGTGCGAAATAAAGGCCTCATAAAATGGTCGAACATCCTCACAGCTTCGAAGTATGTACAGACAGTATAACACTTACCCCAGTCCATGCTCGCTTAATATGTAAGGAATACTCATTATCATCCAGCTTTCGTCGCTGACTTTGCTTGCGAACATAATAACCCCCCAGAGATGGGCGTCCCGCGCGCTATTCTCAATTGACTTACTTGGCCCGGCACTAGATATCCCGCGACTGCATGAACGGGCGACTTGAGCCGCGCCTCCCGAGACCCTTGAGCGACGACTCTCTAGACCCAGCGCAGACTGTGAGTGTCGACTGTCATGTTCGGAGGGCCTAACATCCAGGTATAGCTGATAGAATTGCTTATGTCCTCTGACGTAAACGATACTTGAGAAAAAAGTAATCCGTAATGTGTGCGTAGGATTGTTCGACTGTTGGGAAGAATTCGGGTAAAAGCACATGCAACAAGTATCTCCTTAGGCCCCTGCCACACCATCGGTTAGTTCCCTCCAATAGCGGATGATCCTATACTTGACCCTTGACCGCCATGCTCACGATCATTCGGCCTTTCAAGTATTGGGATGCGTTTCAGGATACTTGTACTATACCCAAGTAGGCACAGCGAGCCTCGAAGAAGGATGCTGTTTCATGATGCTTGTGTGATCTTTCCATTTCCTTGGCTCTCATGCTCGCTTGCGGCTCTACAGGTGTGTCGTCCCGGATTTTCGGTCTGCACAATGTGACCCCAGCGTGATCGCTGCACAGTACATAGGGATGTTCAGCACTTTTTATCGAACCCCAGGAGTTCCTCAAGGACACAAAATTAGCTATCAGACATGGTTGAGTCTGTGGATCTCACCGAGAGTAGGCAAACGGAGGTCTTGGTAGTCGCATGGGTTATGACCGGAGCTGCCATCTTAACGGTTGGCATCAAGCTGTTTGCTCGAGCAAAGATTGTCCATGTCATCGGATGGGATGACTTCTTCATCTTCTTATCGCTGGTAAGACCCTGTCCGACTCGCTCCGCCGCGTCAGAGAGGCTCGATACTCATGCTATCCAGACCTTCAGTATCATCGCGTCTTCGTTCGTGCACTATGGAGTCGTATTGGGATTCGGTCGACACACTGCAGTTGTGGTAGCAGAGTTTGGTAATGAGCGACTGTTCAAGGGTGCCATGATCCAGATGCTTGGATATCGTACGTTGACCGCATGCCGAGCGAACGTTTCTCTGTTTTCCCAAGCTTGAGCTGACGTCATAACAGCTTTCAACATTGGTAGGCTCTTAATCAAGCTACTGTCATGAACCGCTCGTCTAACTGATATCCGGCAGCCGCCTTCAGTTTCCCTAACATCTCCATCGCGATCCTTATATGCCAGCTTCTCGACCCAAACCCTCGCCGGACCATCGCATTGTACGGCATGGCGATCTTGCAAGTTGTTTTCGCCATGATTACTATTGCCCTCGCATTTGGACAGTGCCGGCCTACCAACAAGTTGTGGGAGAAGACGCTACCGGGCTCTTGCTGGAACCCAAACGTGCTCAACTACTTCTCTTATTGGCTTTGCGCATATACAACTCTCACGGATGTCATATTGGCGGTGGTGCCAGTACGCGCTTTCTGGAACCTGCAGATGTCACAATCCACGAAGGTTGGTCTCATTGTGATGATGAGCATGACCATGCTGTCCGCGATTGTTACCACTATCAAGGGGACATATTTGCCACTGTTCACCGATACAATAGATCCTCGTAAGTATCTCGAGTTACCGCTGGATGCAATAAAAACTCACCCTCAGATAGTTTTCAACCCTGTACCTCTCGTGCTATGGGGTCTGTAAGTCCAAACTCCACTCGCAACGCACTCTTACTAATACACTTGCGGTGTCGAGCAAAACATCGTGATCATGGCGGCGTGCATTCCGACAATGCGTCCCTTCTTTAACCGCGCCTGGAAGCGCGGTCTTACCACAAAATCTGGTTCTCACTCCCATTCCTCCGCTCGCGACCCCTTTACGTCCGCTTCCGGTTCACGTTCACACTTAAAACACCGACGGGTTAGGTCACTATCAGATGTGGCTCTGAATGATGTCGAAGTGCATGGATTGGGGAAAACAGTAGACGGGGATGATGCGGCGAGTCACGAGAGTCATCAAGGCATAGTAAGAACAGTGGAGGTAGCATAGACTGGCATAACGATAGACCTGGAAGTGGCATAAAGCAGACTGGTCATCAATCAACTTGAACTCAATCTGATTGATTGATTGATTGAGTTCGTCAATCAACTTCAACTCAACTTAAGATAGTTAGAACTCAACTCCAACTCAACTTGGTAACATAAAGTTGATTGATTAATTGAGTTTAGGTTGTGTTTAAAGTATATTGCAAGACTATTTTTTATTATCGAAGGGTAGTTGCAGGTTGTACTCTGTTTAGCTTAGGCTCTCTCCTTATCGATAACCCACTTAGTAAGCACCATTAGCGCGTCACGTCGCGACTTGACACAACAACTCCTACTAACAGCTACCTCACTAATACTGCCAACCTTCACGCCTACCTCTACATATAATGAGCGAAAATGTTCCTAAGGCGATTGAGGAAACAGCTGCCTGCGCAGATAATACGTGCCTACCTCTAGTAGCTACCTCCGTATACCCTGAGGTCGACGCGCCCGAAGTCTATGACGACTCTGACCTTCTACCTCTCGAGGTATCTGATATCGACGACGATACATACGATGGCCTACATTGGAAGAGAGTACCTCATTTACAGAAACGGCCTTACGAACACGCGCGCGGGTCTAAACTAAGCTAGATATGCCTGTACGGCTAGCCAGTCTAGCATTGGGGGCAGTAGAAGAAGTACTGGCTTTGTAAACACTGCCACACAGCTAAGAAAATAAGTGGAGAATACAACGTTCATCTCTCCACTAGCTCTGCAGCAAGCCACCTAGCATAGATCAAGCCTAGTTATGGCTACGATAAACTAGGCAAGATTACAAAGACCCCAGCTGGTCAAACATCAATACTCGCTGTTATGCAGGCCAGCGGGACTGAGGTATCTCAGGACGTAGCCAACGAGCTGGCAAGAAGCTTCAACCGTAATAAGTTTCTCCAGGCAATTACTCGCTGGATTGCAGACGACAACTAGTCTCTTCGGGCGATTGAAAACCCCTCCTTCCGCGCGCTAATAAAGGCTGCCAATCCGCTGGCTGAGTCGGTATTGTGGAAGAGCTATGTTTCCCTTCGCGATCATATTATTGCCGAATATGAGGCGTTCATACCAGCTGTCGTGGACTACCTCCATAAAGCAACCAGTCTTATCCACTTCTCCTTTGACAATTGGACGTCGCCAGGCAACAAGAGAGCTATCACGGGAATCTGCGTACATCACCTTAACGAGGCTGCTAAGCCAGTAGACTACCTGCTTGGCCTACCCGTGCTGCACGGAAAACACTCTGGCGCGAATATTGGCTCTCCTGTATCCGACACGCTTACAACCTTTGAGATTGATAAAGAACACGTGGGCTACTTTGTTTTAGACAACGCTGCGAACAATGATGTCGCAGTAGAGTTCCTCGCAGAAGATCTCAGTTTTTATGCGCCTCATCGCCGGTTACGCTGTACATGCCACATTCTCAACCTCGCTGCGCAAGAGATTATATGGGGTCGGGATAAGGACTCTTTTGAAAACAAGGGGCTCAATGTCAATGTAAGCTACCTCGCTGTGTAGTACTTACTCCGCTAACACGTACACAGGAAGAAGAGGAGTTTATGGCTGAGTGGCGACAGTTCGGTCCTATTGCTGTACTCTTTGACGCGATTACCTCTGCTACATCATCGCCACAGAACCGGGAGCTATTTCTGAGGCTTCAAGAAGCTGATGCAAAGCACCGTAAGGAGCCGTTTAAGCCAAGAGAACTTGTTAAGTCTGTCAAGACACGCTGGAATTCCTATTACGATTGTTTCGATCGCGCATGCGAGCTCCACACAGCGCTTGACGCCTACATGCAACTCAAAATAGAGGAATACCAAGTCGCTGCAGCTACTCGCCGGAAAGAGCCACGCGAGCAGCCACGCAAGTTTATTCAAGAAGGAGGAATGCACGCAAAGGATTGGGCAACGATAACTGAGTATAAGCAGCTGCTTGAGCCGTTCAAAGAGGCTACCATGTTACTGCAGGGCAGAGGCGCTTCTGGTAGCCATGGTGCTATTTGGGAGGTTCTTATTACCTTTGAATGGCTACTTGCGCAACTTGAATCCCAAAAAGAGAGACTACAGAGTATTGATTATGAAGACCCCAACGCGCCAGAGGATCATCTCAAGACGAACGTTAACAACGCCCACGCAAAGCTCTCCGAGTACTACGACAAGCTTGGAGACTCCCCTATCTACTTTGCAGCAACCATACTCCACCCCACGTACAAATACACGCTTGAAGACCTATGGAAAGTACCAGACGACCATAACGAAGATATAGAGGGTCCTCATCCATTCAAGGACTGGTTGGAGCAAGGCTACCAGTCCTTCTCACGATTATGGAGGTCACACAAGGATAAGGTAGCTGCAAAAGCTAGTAGGCCGTCGTCGTCTGAGGGAGCCGCGCGACCGCATAAGCGCCAGCGCGTTGGTAGAGCGTTAGGGCGGGATGACTTCCTTCGGAGCTCTATCAAGGCAGGTCAAAAGCAGGTAGCCAGCACAATGGACGATGAGTATGATATTTGGAAGCGCGAGGCGCCTTTGGCGGAAGACGACCCTCTCGCAAGGCACCCAATCAACTACTGGCTGGTTACGCGCTCTCGATACCCGGTTCTCTCCCAACTAGCCCTTGACATCTACTCTATTCCAGCTGCCTCAGCTGACTGCGAGAGAATCTTTAGTGAGCTTGGAGATCTGCTTAGTGTACGACGACTTAATATGAAGCCAGAGTTACTCAGCGCCTTACAGTCAATTCGATCGTGGAGAAGAATAGGCCTAAAGGCAAAACACCCAACTAATTCTTAATAGGTCAAAGTCAATCTTATAATCAGTCCCTAATTAATCTCAATCAATCTCAATCAATCTCAATCAATCTCAATCAATCTCAATCAATCTCAATCAACTCAACTTCACGTTCTAATTTTGTCATTCAACTCAACTCAATTTAGGCTCTGTGTGTAGAACTCAATCAATCTTAACTCAATCTGAGCCTAAAAAAGCACTCAATCAATCAATTTAGACGGCGTTAGATTGATTGATTGATTGATGACCAGTCTGAGTCTGAGTGTGAGGGTGAAGGAGAGAGAGAGAGCACGCAGAAAAGATGAGATGATAGCTTTAGACTGACCTATCGGATGAGATGGGAGTAAGAAACTTACCGTGTAGGTGGTCAAAGACGTCATCAAACCTCCGTAGAAAGACCGGATGGAAGCTCTCTTACTCCTTTCTTTCACCTTCACACTCTCTACAAGCCCCTATACGTCTCCTACACCCATATAATTGCAATAAGAGTGAATAGAAATCATCTGCAATGCAAAAAGAGGCTTTTTCTTATACTAATATCGACGTTTTGACATAACTGTCAATTTGGACGATCGATTAACAAAACAGGGGTGGGGGGTCCATATGTTTTCGCAGGCACCGATAATACTATCAAGCCTCAAGCAAGCCTAAAAGTTGCAGTACGGCTTGCATACCAAGTCAAGATATCGGCGCCGGCTTGACTTGGCTTGCTTGTTGCGGACTGTGCTTCAGACGCTGCATTCTGAGCCCTACAGGTCCCATCAATGTTGAGAACCTATCGACGCGCTATCATTCGACAAAAGATAACAGCACTAGGATCTGCAGATCTGTCCTTTGTCTGAACGCTCCTCGGGCGAACTGGCGACCGTACCGTTGCCGCGTAGCCGTAACCCCTCATTGTGAATGAAGCTAAAGGGCAGTGTCGATTGCGGACTTGAAGTGTTAGAAAAGCGGGAAGCTGATCGCAGCAAGTGTGGTATACTGGTAGTTCTAGGTAGGTGCAGCAAAGCAGAGCCCAAGCCCCCTTTCTTTGAGCCGCACTCGATATCATTCTAATTAACTCCATCAAACCGCTAGCGTGACGGAGATCGAACGTCCCGCAAGAGACTATCCGAGTTCAATCAACATCTTAATTTTCGGTCTATCCTCGGATCTTAGAATTAGGAAGGATGGCTCTGGTTTCTCTAAGGAAACAGCGTGAGCTAGCGCTGACAAAAGCTTGAATTTCTGTGGGCATGGCTAGAATGACCAACTAAAAGCAAATCGCTCGACAAAGCACCGGGGAAATGACGTGGCCCTTACCAGCAAATCCGGTGCAACGGTCAATGTGGGTCTGGACAATACAAGCAACACAGGCTGGCCATTTGGCGACACAGGCGGCCCACCTACCCCGCACACGCTTCAATGACATATGTCTTTGGCTGCGAATACCTTGTAATTGCAAACAATCGCTCATAGCAGTGTTGAGCTAGGCGGTGGATGAACAATGGCATTCCTTGGCTGTCGAACTACTGGTATGGAAGCAAAGATCATCTTATATTAAATAGGCCGTTCTCTATGGTGGCCTGATGCTACTTCCAGACCTCGAAACCCTCCATCTCTACAAGCAATGCATACCAAGTGAACCTGTTTTATGAATTATTCTGGAACCGGCAAGACGTTGACTGCGCAATGCAGTTCTCAACTTATCCCAAGGTAGCATGTGCCAATTGCTCAGCCACTCCCCAAATGTCGTCTTGTCCAATCGATCTCGAGGAGGCCTACCCCACAAACGTTTACCTTGCAGACGCTGACAACACGTCTCCTGCTTACCCCTTGTCCACCCTCTTCGAAATCGATGCATCCTTAGAGAAACCAATGGCATTGCGCGAAATGACTTCAAGCTTCCTACCAAGAACACCAAGCTGCTTCAACCCGAAGTTGATGGTAACGGGCATTACAGAATCGAACATGACAACGACTGTTAATTCTGCTTTCCAAAAGTGCCCCGATCGCGCTCCATTCGAACTGTTCAATCAGACCTCAGCCGATTTTCCAATCAGTCCTTCCCATGAAGCAGCCTGTATCTTTCCAAATACTACCTGCTCATGCATTCCTTCCCCTTGCAGCAACGCAACCGAGACAACCGTCTCGCCACGTATCTTGAAGCTTCAGTCACTCCCACTCTCAATCGAGCGTGAAAGCACGCCCACGTCAAAGCGCCCACTGCGCAAGCGGGGACGCCCGTGCCTCAACCGCAGCGACAAGACTGAGCCGGTATCGATATCCTCAGCAAGGCAGAACAAGCAATACCGCGGCCGAGTGCCACATAGTCAAGTCGAGCGCAAGTACCGTGAAGGCCTGAGCTTAGACATGGAGAGGTTACGACGAGCGGTACCAACCTTGCTACAGAGCGGTGAGGGTGATGCTATTGGATGGTATAAGCCAAGCAAGGGCATGGTGCTAACGGCCGCTGTTAATTATATCCAGAGAATAGAGAGAGAGAAAGATGCGTTGTGGGACGAAAACCAGAAGATGCAGTATGCACAGGGAAAAAGGTAAAATACCTTCGGTACCGTGCCCGGGCACCGGATGTGGGCGTTCGCCGAATGGGCGCAATGGCCACGATCAACACCACGAAAGATGAGGCTGTAGAACCACACACAATTACTATCATCACAAGATCTGCTGGCGGAATACTCTATAGGCCTGCGCGACAAACATATTGACTCAAAATTTTTGTACTGATTGATACTGTGGCCGTGGGAGCCCATTTGGGTGGAGGAGTTGGGGAGCGCTCTGCGGCCGGAAGGCCACCCACATCACCCACAGCACAACGCGCATGCTTCTTCTGCATTAGTGATTCTATAATGTCTCTTTGTAGCACAGAGTTAGAATATCTTAAAATATACTAGAATACTAGTATTCTGGTGAGGATTTGCGTGCATTGGCTGAATCCGTGTATTGGGTGCATGGACACGGTACCGTGGGTTGCCGCGTACCGGTAGTATGATAGTGGCGCGTTCCTAAGTTCGTCACATAACAGGCCTCTTTCATCGTGTCCTCTCAGGTAGGACAATCTGTCGTCATGTCGCTAACCCTCAGTCAACCTATCCTAGCTTGGCCAGAAACTTAACTTTAGATCCGCATCATCGCTACCGAATGCCACAATAGCTAAGCCACAGCCGTATCGTCCCACCCAATTAGAATAAGTCCTATACTCCGCGACGCTACCTGAGAGCGACCAGCCACGCAGGGTTCGTAAGCGAAGGGTCTGGATTTGGCTGACGACGGATGTGAAAGTGTTCGTAAAGTTTGGTACAATGGCTTAGCCTAGGTCATGTTGAGAAGCGTATTGTGACGTTTATCTTGGCGGAGATGATGAAGATGAGTGAGAGCGACAGATAAGGGGTTTTGATGTCCTCGACGGTAGGAACCATTATTATCGTTATTCGAACACGCATTAGAGTTTATACAATCAATATCACATTATCTTGTTACTTAGTCACTACAACGGCTAAGTAACGTCACCCTTACAGTAACCCTGTATCTCGGAAACTGTTCCAAATCCGCAAAGTGACCCTACGGCTCCGAACTAGGTCTCCCATCTCGTACCACCCTGAGTTCATAAGAACTCTCCCGCAGCCGAGGTTGAGGAGATTCAGCGGTCCCACCGAACACAACCTGTCGATCCGGGTTTTCCGCTCCAAGTCCAGCCGGGAACCCACTTCAGGTTCGACACTAAACAACCAACACGTGCATCTCAAGTGCATTTTTGGCAACACTTTGCTGTTGCCCACCGTCCTCCAAGTCCAAGAATGAAGAGAAGTGAAGAGAAGAACTAGGATAGACGGCAATATGGGCTGCGGGCCTTCCCAAATGCCTCAACGCCGTCACGGCCGTGCGTATACTGCTAGCCGTGCCAGCGGCCGAGGAGGTGGTGGTAATGTTATGCATATTGTGCATCCTAATGCGGGACCTGGTATAGGATATGGTGTGGGTGGGGGTATGGGTGGGGGTATGGGAGGAGGATATGGAAGACCGCCGCCTAGGCGAGGAATGGGAATAGGGAGAAGGAGACGGTAGTAGAGGGGGAGGAGGAGGGGGGATTGGTCGAGGTTGATCGTTGGATGATGAGAAGAGATAGATACAAAAGATAGGGAGTTGTACGCTATCATGGCGAATTGTAAATCAGCGTTGTTTTCTTGTTTTCTCCCTGACGGTGAATTACAAATATTTGGATTTTACCTCTCGACGCCATTACAAACACTCCGGTTTACGATTTCCTATAGTGCTCCTTAATCTAGTCTTTGATCTATAGTACACACACGCCGTTGTAGAGCGCGCTCTCCATGAGGCACCTGCCAGGCCTGGCTGACGATATGTACTGTTCTATACTAATAATCAACGCTGTTAATTATTTACACTCTGTTAGTTGTTTGGCCTAGTGGTACAAAGCTGCATTCTGAAAGCACCCGGACGCCCATAACAGGCTCTGATGACGGCCTGATGACGGCCTGATGACGGCCTGATGTCGTCCAGCGGCTGATTTATTCTTTTCAGCTATCGCTTGAGAGCGGCTAGCTCTCGCTCCAGCTTTCCGAGCCTCATCAACCCTGTTCAGCGCCGATCGTACATTCCTTGGGCGTGTCACAATATCCTCTTGTGTACTGCAATTCTAGGTATCTAGCTGCTTTTCGCCTCGACCAACGCAGATCGTGAATTTTGACTTGATTCACCGCCTTTGCTAGGCACATCTGTACCTTTGCCGCGGAAGGTCACATGCAGGGTTTGGTGTTTGAAGTAATCAAAGAGACCTGGCAGCATAAGTTCCGGACTTGCCACTAATTTCCTCCTTTTAAGCAAAGAACATTCAGCGTACATTTATAACCCCTAATAACGCTTGCTACGCATTTGTTATTGGTACTTAGCTTTGTGCGCTCGCCGCGTATAGCTGACGTCACAGCTCGTTATCGCAACTACAGTTTTGAGATACCCGTCGCGAGACATGTTGTTAGCAATACCAAGGGGTGATGCCGAACGGTATCATCCAGCTATGCGGCCTCCGAAGACGCGCGACGCCTTCCAGGCCCAGACTCCTATCAATCAGATGAGACAGCACCTAGAGCGGCCGAGTATTAGCCTACAGGTTTGCAATGCCAATATCACTTTCACACTCTATCAGCGTTGACAGACGGACAGGTTCTCTATCTTGGCATAGCTGTTACAGAAGGCTCTAGGGGGTCGCTTGACGTTGGCTTTGCTGTACATGACGGGACTTACTCCACTGACTTTGCTGTCATCTCACTGCAAAGAAGATATGGCAATGATTCTGGAACATCAGCTGCATCTTCTGATGCTGGATCAGGGGCCTCTACACCCGCTTCTATAGAAGAGTGTCCAAATCTCCTGGATGACTTTATAGCTGACAAGATTCGCAGCTACCAGAAGGAACATCTATACAAATTTGTCGGCGCTGGTCTGACGAAGCGAGCTACTGAAGCTAGCCCTCAGCTCGCCTCGCGCTTATGGCTCGAGTTGGATATCGTGCCATTGGTCTTCTCACCGACTTTCGACAACCCCATCGTTGAGAGGCAACACGGCAAGATATTGGTAGATGAAGAAGCTGATTCCATGGCAAGAAAAGCTCTCATGTATGTCTTTCGTATCCCTCCAAATGATAGCCGACTAACCCCGATCAGGTACTTTGGCCCGAGTCGGCAGCCGCGCCTCGTTGTTGGTTACCGCAATGAGGTTGGAGTCGATTGCGCTGGCCAAGCGCGCATTACCTACGCTGAGGACTATCCACCTACTGTCAGCGAAAATACTTGGAATGCCACGATGAAATACGCGGATTCGCTCATAAGGAACCAAACCAAGATCGCCTTCTTCAACAGTACCCCACAAGGTGGAGGTGTCGCTTTGATGAGGCATGCCCTCATCCGATTCCTTCGTGTGATCCACGTGGGCGCCAAATGGTAATTTTCGAAACTTCCATACTACCAAGAAATCCCCATCCGACTGAGATATTGATGCTAAGAAGTCGCAGGTACGTTCCAAAGCCCAAGCCTGAGGTTTTCCGTATCACCAAGAACAACCACAATATCCTTCAGGGTGTAGCCAAGCCCGATGTTCGCCTAGACCAAAAGTCAATGTGCATCCTTGACGAATGGTGCAAGCAAAACGCCGAGCGCTTCTGGATGGCAGAAGATGGTCCTCTTGCACCTCGCTCTCGTGGCGGTGCCGACGTCATTATCGTCGACGACCCACAGATGCCGAGTCTCGTCAAGATTGCTAAGGAACAAGATCCCGACCGCCCTGTCATTTTCCGCAGCCACATTCAGGTCCGTGCTGATCTCGCTGATCAAGAAGGCACGGCTACTTCTGAGGTTTGGAACTGGGTATGGAACAACATCAAGGATTGCGATGCCTTTGTTAGCCACCCTGTCCGCGACTTCGTGCCCAAGAATGTCACTACCGAGAAAGTCGGCTACCTGCCTGCTACTACGGATTGGTTGGATGGACTAAACAAGCCTCTCGACGATTGGCACTCGCAGTTCTACATCCACGAGTTTGAAGCTGAATGTTTCAAGGCGCGGATGCATCAACTCAAGTTTCCGGACCGTCACTACATTGTCCAAATCGCACGTTTCGACCCGGCAAAGGGTATTCCCGATGTCCTGGCTTCTTATGCTGAATTCCGCCTCAAGTACATGAAGGACAAATATATAATGGAGATTCCTCAGCTAGTCATCGTCGGTCACGGCGCCATCGATGACCCCGACGCTACCGAGATCTATGATAAGACGCTTGACCTCCTCCGGACTCAGTACAGTGGCATCCAAGAAGACGTGGTAGTCATGCGCCTCGGTCCCACAGACCAACTCCTCAACGCACTAATGTCCAACGCCCACGTCGCCCTCCAGCTCTCCACTCGCGAGGGCTTTGAAGTGAAAGTCAGCGAGGCCCTGCACAAAGGCGTACCCATCATCGCCACGCGCGCTGGCGGTATTCCGCTGCAAGTTGAACACGGTAAATCGGGCTTTCTGGTTGAAAATGGCGACTACAAAGCCGTTGCGCGCTATTTGCATCACCTGTTCAGCGATCCCAAGGCGTATGATGAGATGAGTCACTATGCGGCCACTCATGTCAGTGACGAAGTCAGCACAGTGGGCAATGCACTCGCGTGGCTGTACCTTGCGGATGTGCTATCGAAGGGTGAGAAGATCAAGCCGAATAGTAGGTGGATCAACGATATGGCGCGCGAGACGGCGGGATTCCCGTATCAGGAGGGTGAGCCTAGGTTGCCTCGGGATAGGATATTGGATTTGACGCAGTAGGTTGGGCCCCTCTGAACCGGTGGTTGTGGTTGGGTGATTATTGAACATTCAGTTTTTTCAGATCGGGTACATGATGTATTTGACTAGTGCGGAGAGTTGTTACTATGGGTTTTCATGAAGATATGTAGGTCGATAGACACAACATGTGAATTGAGGTTGACTGTAAAGCGAAGGTCAAAGCTACAACTGTATACAGGAGTGGGTAGTCCCGTGCGTAGCATCACGTGAGGGTCCGAGTGCCGTGACAGTATAGATTCGAGGAAGTAACAGGGATCCGCTATGCACAGGTCGATCAGTCAGAAGCGGCTCTACAGTGGAGAGGGACTGGGCTATTTGGCACAGATGTGAACTCACAAATCGTGCGCAACGCCAATCACTTGGCCAAGGCCTTCACAATCCAGCACTTGACCAAATTCCGCAATCATGTTCTTCCAACTAAATGACTACAAGTTGGCAGGATTGTCTGTACCACTATAGCCCAGCAGATCGGGTGCAATCACGCCAGATCCGTGGGCAATAGTGCACTCATCGCTGAACTTTAGAGTAGTACGATCCCAGTCGAAACCAGCCCATTGTAAAGCCCATTCACGGCGAAGTTTGGCAGTATTTGCGTTGATTTTTGGCCTCCGGGCCGCTCTACACTTGGAGTAGTTTGTACTTGCAAGTGCGCGGGCGATAGTTCGAAATGAGACTGGTGGTGTCGTCCCATCACCGTCAAGGCCCGCGGCTGTACGGAGAGCGCTGTACTCGATTGTAGGATCTTTCTTTACGATGATAAGAAGCCGACGATGATCTCTACTAGTTAAAATAGGTGGGCGGCCCATACGATCGTTATTGGTGTGGTAGGCAGTCGATTTCCATCGCGCGATAATCTTCTGTACAGCGCGTTGAGTACAACCGAGTGTCTCACTGATTTCGCGCGTCGATACACCAGCGTCAACCTGGGCTAAGATATACACGCGTTGCGCTTCCGATAATTCACCTCCAGGAATTCGATTGCCCGAAATTACAATACCAAAAGACCTCATATTGATGGAGTTGTGTGGTGTTGCAGAAGATACCCGTCTTGTGATCTCATGTTGTTGTTGGGCCCGTGCGTTTAGCGCGAACAGACTTTTGGCTTAGTACTGTATAATCTCCACCTGTTCTGACTCTCGCATTCCGGTCCGTGAACATCCACAGCGCAGAGTGCAGCAAGTGCACGGCGTCCGCCGTCGATCAATTTCACAAGCGAGCGAGTTTGCAGATCCTTAGACAACCGGTGACTCTAGCCGGCGCTATCCACTAGGCATTGCTGGCAATCGACATCAAATCGAGAAGGCCCCTTGAAGTCCTAAACCCATCTTTGCGCCACGTGGCCGAAGCTCCTGAAGCGCTTTCGTGGACCCGACAAGTTGTCCCGCTCCCTGTTGTTACGCCCGAGACTCTTCCAAGCCTTCCTTTCTCTCATCGCCTCCCGGTGTCTTTCTGGTCATCTCTGCCGCTATGCGGACATCTCCTTGCGACTAGTGAACACCACATCCATGGCAAACCATCTTGCCAGTATGGTACACGGCAGCGGAGGGGATTCTAAGGCGTACCATCGCCATCACCTCCGACATCAACATCGCCAACAACGACCTTACCTACAATTCTACCCCCAACAGTCGCGACTACGAAGATGCCCCGTGCCCGCCACCAACGGTCCGTACTCGGTCAATGACCAGGCGCTCGAACATCAGTATCACTGCCACTCGCAGTCTCCCTCACCACCGCCATTGGAAGGGCGGAAGCCGTTACTGCCCTCAATTTTGAGTCTGCTAAACGTCGTAGATTGCGAGAAGAACTTTCAAGGCAGGTACTCTCTCACTAGACTATCACTATCGGGCGGTACCAACTGGATGCTAATGCAGTCCGCAGCACGTCCATCTCCCAAGGCACAACAGCCATCGCCTCAACTTAGGCAAAAAACTCAAGAGTACCCGACCGCTGGACTAGTGAAGTATGCCTACCAGACACAGCCCAATTCTGACGAAGCGGCGTGCGCTTCCTATCCTATGATTGCGAGCAACTTCAGAACGACTTTACCTCCTACGGCACCAATGCATTCAGACCCCATGGTTGAAGGCAATCCGTCTTTGTCCGTTCATCTCACTTGGCCCGCGACGTCATACTTCCTAGGCAAATCTCTGAATGGCATAGAGCTTCAACAGCAACAACCAAATGTCTCTTCGACAACTTCCACGAAACGCAACCCACTCCCACCAGAGTCCTTCATGTTTTCTCATAACAATTCCGCCTACAACCAGTCGCCTCACGCTTCTTCTCCACAAGCTGCATCGACTGGATCGTACTGTCCGTCCGAGTCTCACTACGGCTCCGTGTGCATATATGAGCAGCGCTCGCCTCCCTCCAACTTTCAGCCTTCAATAACGGCACTCCCTATTCCGAAAACCCTTCCGAACGATTCCAACGCGTGGCATCATCATCACTGCATAAGCGCTTCCAGTCAGGTGGCTATACCGCAGCCCCACAATCGCTATATCTGCTCCACTTGCAACAAGACCTTTTCACGACCTAGCAGTCTGCGCATTCACAATCACAGTCACACAGGCGAGAAGCCGCATAAGTGCCCGCAGCCGGAATGTGAGAAGGCCTTCAGCGTGCGCAGCAACCTGAAGCGGCACGAGCGTATTTGTTGTGCGTCTACTAGCCGCAACCATATTTACAACACAACGAACCTGTAAACAGCCACCTATCGGCTAGACCATGGGCAAGTCACTGGTGCTATTAGCGCGGCTCCCGTAGGGTATAATTGCAACCTGGATCTTACGTGTTGGGCATCGTTTGTTTCTGGCGCAATCTGTAACGTGTTTCACCAGTGTGCCGGCCACCTAACCCCACCAAAACGCCTGCGCAACGACGTCGCGTAATGTCTCAACAACGCAACATGCAAACTCCCTATACTGAAGGAGATATATACATTGCTATCTTTGATATTGAGTCCAAGCAAGTCTGCAGCGAAAGGCGCGCTACCGCAGTCTACAACGTCCCTCAATCAACGATCTAAGACCGACGCTCTCGACGCGACTACGAACCGCCTGCGAAGCGTCTAACAAAACTAGAAGAGGAGGTGATTGTACAGCGTATACTTGACGGTTCTGAACGCGGTATACCCTCCTCGAAGGCTGACGTACGAGATATGGCGGATAAACTGCTGAGAGAGCGTAGTGCAGACGCTGTTGGCAAGAACTGGGTGGATAGGTTCATTCAGCGTACGCCTGAGCTGCGCAAGCGATGGAGCCGTCTGTACGATCGCCAGCGAGCTGCCTGCGAGGACCCGGCGATCCTCTGGCCCTGGTTCACGCTGGTTCAGAGCATGAAGGCGAAGTATGGTATCGTAGATGAAGATATGTACAACTTTGACGAATCTAGCTTCCTAATAGGCAAGATATCGTCTCAGCTCGTAGTTACAGGCTCAGAGAAGCCTAGAAAAGCAAAGAAACTCCAACCTGGTGATCGCGAGTGGGTTACGCTGGTACAAGGCGTCGAGGCGACGGGGCGCGTTATCCCACCCTTCCTCATCTTTGCAAGGTTCTCATCTCCAACTGGTTCACAGATGACCTACCACGCAACTGAGTTATTTAAGTTAGCCCTACTGGCTGGACGAATAACAATCTGGCGCTTGCCTGGCTCGAACACTTCGATACGCATGCGAAGCCTGTTGGAGCGTATAGGCTGCTTATATTGACGGCCATGAGAGCCACTGTTCAGTGGATTTCTAGGATTTTTGCAGGGAGAAGAAGATAATCACTATCGGCATGCCCCTGCATTCGTCGCACCTGCTACAGCCGCTTGACGTCGCCTGCTTCTCGCCGTTGAAGCACAGTTATAGCGACGCGATCTCGGCCTTGGCACGCAACCGCGTCCACCATATTAGCAAAGAAACCTTCCTATCAGCCTTTAAACAGGCCTATTACATGGCTATTACAAAGGAAAATATTTGCGCAGGGTTTCGAGGCGCTGGCTTAGTTCCACACGATCCAGAGGCCGTGTTATCGAAGCTTAATGTGAAGCTGCGTACGCTAACGCCACCACAACAAGATAACAGCGCTTGAGAGGCGAAGACACCGCGCAACGCCCGCGAGATAGAGGCGCAATCAACGGTTATTCGAAACCGCATACAAAATTATAGGGGGTTTCCAGCAAGTTCTATGGACGAGTAGGTAAGGCAGCTCACGGAGGGCGCTCAGCAGATAGCTCATAATATGGTGTTGATGCAGGAGGAAATAGGTCGCCTGCGAGACGCTGTTGAAGCATCAACAAAGCGTAAAACTCGCAAGCGGCGCTACATACGGGCAGAGGAAACTCTAACAGTTGGTGGGGTAGCTGACTTAGTCGCTGCAAAGGAGGGTAGTAGTCGTGAGGAGGGCGAGACGCCTGCGAAGAGGGTGCGCGGCGAGAGGCACTGCGGGCGTTGCGGCGAGATTGGATACAACTCCCGCACCTGCAAGGTAGAAATAGAGGACGCAGATAATAGCGACGCTTCTAAATAATATAATACTATTGCGTAGGGTACAAAAAATGCTATGGTGTTGCACGGGCGTCGTTGCGCAGGCGCTTTGGTGAGGTTAGATGGCCGGCACACTGGTGAAACACAGTACGTACCGTGCCCGTGCACCCAACGCGCGCCGTCGGCCAACGCGCGGAATCGGCCCTAACCATCACCAGCAAACTGGAGGTTATTGAGCCACGTACAAAAGCTATCTTGACCAGACTTTTTAGTGGAGTGATCTATAGGCCTATGCGACAAATTTTGCTACCAATATTTGCGTGGCTGAAGTATTCTGCGGCCGCGGCTGTTTACTGTAGGTGCAGGTGCTGTAGGCGGCTTATGGACAACACTACCACTCTGCACAGCCGTAGAACTACGTTTCTGCCTCTTTTTTACTTCTTGTTGCTGTGAGGCCTTGCGCTTGCCTTTTGCGGCAGTCTGTAATCTGTTTTGAGAGTCGCGCTCTTGTTTCTTGCGTGCTCTCTCAGCTTTGCGCGCATCAATAGCTAGGCGCTCTTCTGCACGCTTTCTCTCTCGCTCTTCCTTCTCCCTTGCTGCTTTCTGGCGCTTCTCTTCTGCAATTTGCTTGTTGTAAGCTGTAGTAGCAGCCTTTAGCTTTCTTGCCTCTTCTTTTTGAAGCTCCTCCTCCTCCGCCTCACGTTTTGCTATCCTCATCCGTGTGCGCGCTTCTCGGAAGGAGCGAGTAGTCCACATCATGTACGGTCCCCAGTACTCATAGTGTTGTAGCAAAGCTAGAGGCTTGCCTTGCTTCTCTCGCTTCCTCTTAGTAGTAAGAGCATCTATTAGACCTTCATTTTCACTCCTTAAAAGGGTGTTTTGGATAGCCATGTGGTGAAGCGATTGCCGAATGATTGATGCCTCCTTCTCTGTTGCACCCGTTAACGCACGCCTTGCTACTCGGTCCAGAAACCTCCACTATTCTCCCTCATAGATAGGAGCGTCAGAGTCGCTATCTTCTGCAGTCTCAGAGTCGCTATCCACGAACTTATCGAGTATAACGTTAGGGTTGAATGGGCTCACACCCACTGCCTTAAAAGAGCTGAGTATGTTTGGTTCAGTGAAGCTAGCCACCCAAACATCCCCGAATAGCAAGAAGAAGTCAGACTTCTTCACCAGTACCAGGCCTTTGTGCTTGAAGAGGCGCTCTCCTAGCTTCTTTGAGTATGATGTACTGAGAGGCTTAAACATCACCACGTCAAGCGACTGAAGCGTGTGGGTGCTATGAGGTGGATAGATACCCACAAGGATCTTGTGTCTGTGACAATACTCCAAAAACTCTTCTGTTAGGTGACTCCCATGGCCATCTAATAGCAGTAGGCGGTACTTTCTTCGAGCTTTAGGTGCAATGAAGCGCTGAAACACCTGTTGCAGCCAGGCAAGGCCTAAGCCGTCGTTGCTCCAGCCACTAGGCGATACTCCAAAGAAGGCCATATGTTCTCTCACCTTCACATCCTCCACCCAGGTGCTCTGAATGTTCTGAGATTCAGCCGCATATACGAGGCCTGGAAGAAGAGCAGATCCATCCGCACTCACACATGCTATAAGGCTCACCCACTTACAGTTGCCATCCTGGAGCATCTGCTTAAACGTCTTTTTCTTATATTGACACTTGCTGAAGATTCTCTTTTGTCTGCCAACAGCTCCAATCATAAAGCCTTTCTCGTCTATATTGTATGTGTGCGCAGGCTCTATCTTGTAGAACTCAATCTTGTCGCGCAGCGCGTCATAGTACAGCTTGTAATTCTCACCAGATTTAGCGATGTGACGTTGCCGGTCCATAGATGTGGTGAACTGAGACGTAAGCTCATCGTTGTGACGGTCTAGGAAGCGCGATACCCAGCTCTCGGAGACCTGATGCCCAGCGATATCTGAGGCGAAATTTTGAACCATCTCTCTTGTAGGTGGAAGGTGTTCTTTTGTGAGCTTATCTATGTACTTTACAAGCTCTGCCTCCTCCTGTGGGCTGAGGTTCTGACGTGTTACCGCATCCTCTTGGTGGGAACGCGTACCAAGCTCTACTTTGCGCGTTAAAGTTGAGCGAACAACACTATGCTTTCTAGCTATTTTGGTGTAAGCCCAGGTTACCTTGCATGGTCACGTGGATTATCCAGCGACCAATCAGCCCACTACTCTATGTATATAAGCTTAGATCACAGACCTCTCGGTGATGAAGAAGAATACACACAATCTACTTACATTTGGTCTATGGGATTTTCTCACCTAGGGGTGTACTTTTTGCTTCTGCAACTGCTTCTTTAATACCTGTCATCGTTGTTGTGCTGTGTTGGGATGAAAACGGGTCACATGTATGGTGTTCCGCGCGTTGGCCGACGGCGCGCGTTGGGTGTACGGGCACGGTACGTTAGCTGTTTGTAATCTCTATCCTGTCGCCCGTCGCCTATCTGGTCTATCGCTGTTAGCTACACATTGCAGCTACACTACCGTCTCTACAGCACTTTTTAATGTTTCTTGTTGCCCTACACGCCGAATATGCCGCCTCGTAACCTAAAACGCGTCGCCGAGGGCAAACGCGTTGATGGGGGCACCTGCGGCCCCCAGAAGCGCGCCAAAACAGCCAAAGGCAGTGCTTCGCAGCCTATCTCGGTAGACGATTCGCAGCCTACCTTAGTAGACGACTTGCAGCCCGAGCTGCCTATCTGCACCTCGCCACGTAAAGCCCTAGTTGCTGCGGCAAGCCAGGCCACCAGAGATGCGCCGTTCGAGTCGCAGTTGCGCGACGCTATACCAGAGGATTCTATACAACCGCCAGCTGAGAGCAGTATGGCTGTCACAGAGGCTACGAGTGAGGCTATTGAAAGCGAGGATGATGGTGGCTTTGATGAGGAGTTCGCGGACAACTTTGATGGCATTGATTGGAAGCGTTCACCGCGTTTTACGAAGCCTCTAGTACGTTGAAGCGTAACAAAAGCTGGGTATATCAGTACCGTTACCGCGTTGCCTCGCTCCGTGAGCCTAATCGTACGTACTTTGTTTGCAAATACTGCCATCAGCGGAAGATCTTTTGTACCTATCCAGAGGTTACGAAGTCGACTAGCAAAGCTATTAATCACCTTGCGTAGAAGCTGCCTGGCCACAGCTGCGACCGCAGAGGCAAGCTAGATTCGGTAGCACTGCTACAAGGCCAAACGACGCTTAAGATGTTGACCGCTAGCGGTGTTAAGGTGCCTCAAAACGTTGCCAACGAGCTTGATCTCAGGCCTGGATATTATCTGAAAGGATTCTCCATCCACCGTCAAACATCCTATGCGAACGGATCTTGAGCCGACAAAGCTGAAATAGAATTGTTCTTGTTCACAACTTCGGCGTAGTGAATCAAGCCGATTCACTGGCTCTTACTAGTGCTTCGAATGAGGAGAAGTTAGGGGTTTTTGAGCCGGATGTCTTGGGGAGAAGCCTGGAAGGTCGATCGAGCGGGGACGAGTTGGCTCGAGGCTTTGCACTAGTTGCAGTGAAGCCTGGGATGACTATGAGTGTTTTACCAGCAGGGCTGAAGATCCTACATCATCCGCGAGGTCATATACGCAGCCTCCTCCAAGTGAGAGAATCCTGCTTTAGGCGATTAATGGATGAAAGCCATGTAGACTCCTGAAACGGTCGATATAGTGATGAATCGATAGTATCGTCGTGTTCCAAAATGTGGGACAGTGGAGGAAGTGTAGTTGATATGTTCCCAGGTTGATATATGAAGGATGAAGAGCGGACCGGGATATTCGAGTCCGAACTCCGCTCCCAAGAGCCATGCGCCGTAGCAGTAGGGCGGAGATCATATAGTCCCTCTTGATGGAGAGCTGCAGACCCCAACGACGTTGACACAAGTGAGCCATAATCCTCTGGGCAAGCCGAGTTCGATTCGTTACGAGAATGAGTTGTTGGAGATGTTGATCCTGACGAGGAGGAATATCCAGAAAGCCGTAGAAGACTCATGGTTGGACTTAGTCTCTCCTGATCGTGCTCCGCCATGAAAGAATTCGGTTCCGCTAAGGTGGCCTCTTTCTTTGCCCGTCGATCGCCGTATTCGTGGGTACTGCTTGGCGACATAGTCCTTGTGTGGGTTTCCAACCTAGCATGTATCCTTTCCGTACCTGCTACCCAATGTTAGTAAAACACCAACAACAAGAAGTCAACGCAACAAACCATTGTATGGTGCTGCGTGTTTCGCCTTGAACTCCTTCAGGTACTTTTGATAAGCATCGTACTTGGGAGATCCCTTGTACTCTACTAATTTCGCGTGGTATTTCTCTTTTCCGGCCTTCGCCTGACATTGATAGGCCTCTCGAGCTTCCGCTGGTAAAACTCGCCACCGTTCACCAACGACTTTCGCAATCTCTGTGAAAGATAATACTTGGCTCTTCAAAGACTCCCTTACATCTAACCTTTGTTAGTCCCACAACGTGTATAGGGAGGAAAAGCCACTAACGGTTGGCGAAAATTACATAGGCAGATAGAGGTCGCCTAGGTGCATACTTGTCTGACTATATAAGGTTAGTAGTACATCAGTAGTTTGTCTGATCGTGAAATTGGAGGTAGGAATAGCGAGCCTAGAAACACGGACCTTAGGATGTCGCGTATACTTTCTTTTCGTGCGAGCGGTTGGAGGGCAGTAGTTGTAGACCAGACCACGCGATTCCGCAATCGTCCGCTGAAGTTTCTGTTGATAGATAAAATCAGCGCGGTGACATTGTCAAAAGCATTGCTGTACATACCCTTCGATGACCAATCTTGACGTTGAGGGAGTTTCTACTGTATATGTAAATTTTCTTTCTGCCAAGGAATGCCACAGCGACTCACAAGTCTGATTCTGTTATATCTAACACCGTTTCCCAGGAATCGAAGCCTTCGGCCACGAGCATTTCCAGGTATTCTGACAGCCCCAATCGCTCCAATTCTTCTGCTAAGTCGGTCATGATAGAGTTTGCGTAGAGGTTGAAAATGATAGACGTTGAGTACTATAATTGAAGGTTCGTACGCTAGACGAATGGCCACTTGGTAGTCCCGGCCACGGTGATTAGATGGGCCTAGTAGTCAGTCCTGAATCTACACAAACCCACCAGTGGAAGAGAAGGACATGAAAGGGAAGCACTAGGCTCAAGAGTCAGCAAGGGTCACTCGTGATTTTGGATACGCCACAGGGTTGAGAAGTACAACAACAGGTAGTATAAGCAATGAAATCCGTCTAGACAAACACCAGCGATAGCGACGACATCGTGAAGCAGGAGAAGAAATATTGAGAGAAGAGGATATTTCTTAGAGGCTACTAGAATAGTGAAAGGTAGATAAAGTGCACAAGGGCACTGTTGATTAGACTAGGGTGGGCGCACGTACCGTTGGCTAAATGCCTCTAGGAGCGAATGAGCGAGCTGCAATCCTCAAAGAGGCTAAGGAAATAGCAGACGTTTTCAGAGACAAGCGCAGGCAGGTTCACCCAAAGACTGCTGGTGAATTGGCTGACTGAGAATGGGTCGGCATCTGGTGTACTCTATGCAGCCTCAAACTGGCGGAGCGAAATGGGTAGGAAGATGATTTGGCAGCATTTTGCTAGATCAGATACGGCCGACTCCCTTATACGTTGACATCTTAGCCACAAGATCGAGATCTTAAATAGGAGACTAATTCCGGAATACGCAAGCGACTGAGTTTGTTCCCCCCACGGATGTCACTGAGTTAGTAAAGTATGATCTAAACACAAGACTGACATATCCTCTCGGTAAGCAATACACGGGCCATTCGGGCTCGTCGATATTGCTGGATATTCTTGCTTTTTACAGGGGCCAGTATACTCTCAGTTGCGGCGCGCACAAAATGCAACCAAATGGTGCGAAAAGCCGCGAATGTGATGCAGACATGATGTAAAGGTGATTTTAGGTGGAGCCGAGCAATATTGTAAGGGTATGGAGAAAGCGGAAGCTAGAGAAGTGATCGCCGATCCATTTAGACGACCCTGCCGCTTTAACGAATGACGGCAAGTCCTCGGAAACCCCCACACAATAACAAATGGCAATGGGATATTCGTATCGAGAAACTGACGAGATGCGGAAGCTGCTCAGGGCCGTTGGAAGGCGCTAGCTTTGTCCCGGATTTGCACTCCCCATCAGCCCCGCCATCCATCAAAGCTTGTGGCTCTGAACCCTGAAACGCGGTCGGTGGCGAAGCGCAATTAGAGCTGCCGCATAAGCCGGCACCTGGTCGGTCAGGTTGTAGTACTTGTCCAAGGCGTATCAAGCCATCAGAACTGTGTTCTGAAACCGAGCATTATTTGCATGCTTGTTCTTCTGCTTCTCCAAGTGCTTAACAAGGATATCCATTGTCACCAGGGCTTTCTCAATAGAATCAAGGTCGGATTGAGTTCCCGTCGTAACTTTCTCAAAGGGCTTAAAGAAGAAGGTAATCTCGCGCAGAGTATCCCAATCGTCAGGTGTAAGTGCGTGCTTCCCGATCGCCTTCCAGTGGTTCGTGACAAAGGTATCGACATAGCCTTCAAGCTCGTGGACTCCTGGGTCATTTAGAGAAGCTAAAACCCGCATGAGGCTTGCAAGGGAGGAGAGAGTGGCAGAGGAGAAGAAAAAGGCTGACATGAAGGAGCTTGCTAAGGCTAACAAGCTATACAACGAAAAGATTGCGCAGGAGAAGCATGATGCGCGCGCGAGGGAGAAGGAAGAGCGCGACTGGCTGAAGGCGGAGAAGGTTAAGGAAGTTGCTGAACGCAAGGCAGAGAGAGAGCGCCAAAGGCAAGCTCGCGACCATCAGAAAGCTATCCAAAAGCCGCCTACAGGCAAGCGCAAGGCTTTACAAAAAGCAGCACCAAGGAAGAAGCAGAAACGTAGTGCTAGAGATGATATGGGTGGTGCCTCGCGCACGGCGCGTACCCCAACACCGCCACACCAAACCAACACTCGCGGCCGCAAAATCCTCCGGCCAAGAAAGTATTGGTGAGAAAGTTTGTCGCATAGGTCTATAGAGTACTCTGCTAAGTTGCCTTATGGTAACTACTTGTGTGTGTGGCTCTACAGCCTCAATTTTGTGTAGCCGGTTTTGGTGATGCGCGTGCATTGACTGACGGCGTGCATTGTGTGCACGGACACGGTACCGTGTCCGTGCACCAAATGCGCGCCATCACCAAATGCGCGGAAACCTGATATGCGCCACTTTTTCTCAACACCATAACACAACAACAATGACAGGTATCGAAGAAGCGCTTGCAGAGTGTGATTCTATACCCTCTGGCGACAAGATCTCTTGGCAAAAAATAGCTGACAAGCATGGTGTTGTTCGCTCAACGTTGACGCGCAGGCACCGCTGTGAAACGCGCTCTCGGCAAGAGGTGTCAACATCACAACAGAATCTACAACCACAACAGGAGGCAGAACTTGTGAAGTATATAGAGGAGCTAACAGAGCGAAAGCTACCTCCTACAAGAGAAATGGTGCAGAATTACGCGTCTGATATTGCTGGACACCTTGTCTCTGAAAGCTGGGTTCATACATGACTATCGTGGTTGAACCACATTAAGAATCGCTCTAAACCATACCATATTAGTATCGTGTAAACCATACCACGTTAATTATGGTGTTGAACCGCGTTAAATACCGCGATAAATACCGCGTTAAGTAAATAAACATTAATTTGAACATGTTGGTGTAGTTACTTGCTTTAATACCAATCTATCCCACCCGTTCCCTCATCCACAACACTGAGGAGAGTTTCCTGAAGCTCCGGCTCAATCGGTAGACCCATCCCATTGTCCCAGACCGGCTTAATGTGCCTCTGTCGTATCCAATTGCCGATACACTCGATCATCTCGATAGTGGTGCATCGCAATCGCAATCTGTCCCATGAACAGGTCCTTCTGGCCCCAGAGAATGTCCTTTCCGGCTCTGACGATTCTGCGGGGATAGATAGAATAGCCATTGCCATGCGGCTAAGCCCTGGAAAGCTGCGACGCTGCTCAGATTGACACCACCACTCGAGAGCATACATGGGCAAATCGGTTTTTGAAAAACCGGTTAAGCAGCCGTTAGCGTACCAAAGCCGTTTTCAGCCAATCAAACAGAGGCTGTCAGCAAGAAGATTTTCTCCGATTGGTAAAGACAGAGTTTGGTACGCTAATGGCTGCTTAACCGGTTTTTCAAAAACCGATTTGCCCATGTATGCTCGAGAGGAGTGACTCCATCATTCAAATCAATAGCTGGGCCATTAATAAAACTTCTGAAGTTGTCATCTGGCTTTAAACTGATGGTCTTCACCTTCGTCTTCTGTTTTAATAAGGTGAAGACGTTCACAGGCTTATCTAGCTGGCCAGCCGAGATACCGGGTGCGTTCTCTGGAGCTGGAAAAGAATCTGGTTTGATATCAGGCTTGAAATCGTTCACCCAGATTGTATTGGCGAGTTCAATGGCAGGCTCCACCCACTCTTCTGGCCAGTTCTGGTGTAGGTAGGCGGCTCGCTTGCGCGGATCGAGTAGTATCGCAGCAGCGTACACAGGTGTTTCTCCCGTTTTGTTGTAGTATTTGTCGAGTACGTACCAACCCATATCGATGGCTCGAATCATGCGTTCATCGTGGTTCTCAGGTAGGAGTAGTAGTTCTACTAAACGTGAGTATTCGGACCCATTAAGTAGAACCAGATACTGACCTTCTGCTCTTCATACCACGTTAATAGGAGATCCATCAGCTCAAGCGATTGCGCGACCGATGACTTGTCTTTCTCTGCGTACAGAGTAGCCGATGCGAATGGCTCTAAAAAGTGAGCAGCCTTTTCGAGGATATCCCAATCGTTCGCTTGAAGCCGATTGTCGCCCAGGATGTCCTCGTGGTCGGTCATAAAGCTCTTGATCTTGTCCATCTTCTTTAAGGCTCGTGAGATGACCTGATACCATGAAGACCATCGTGTCCGATTGTCGATCCCGAGGCGTAGACCGATAGCTCTATCCCAAAGACCCTGGTGGATAGTTGAACCTCGGAGCCAGACCGCGAGATTGTGAAGCTTGCGTAATGTGGGGATATTCTCAACACCATCAAAGTCCTCAACTGAAATGATGCTTGCATTACTACCCTGCCGCTTGCGTTGTTTGCTTTGTCCCTTTGTACGAGAACGCTCTGCTTCCGTTCGTTTTCGATGAGAGGCGAGGACACTCGAAAACTGCGTAAGAAGGGCTTCTCCAGCGACACCAGAGACAGTCTCAAGAGCAGCAATAAGAGCCTCTCGGGAGGACGCAAGAAGGAAAGCTTGAAGGGAGAGATTGATGATATGAGCGATGCAACGGACCCGACGATGTTTTGCATTGAAGTCGACCTATTTAGATGATTAGCTTAATAAGTGCTTAATTGAACCTACAACTGACGTTGTATTCACGCTTTAATTGCTTTGATAACGCTTCCAGACAGGTATCGTTGGACGTCGCATTATCGCCTACGTGATAGCCGATCTGGGACGCGATATTATACTTTCTAAGAGTATCCATATTGTAAACCGCTTGCTGCTCTACAGAGTGGCTGTCACGTAGCTCTGGGAGTCCTAGCAGTGCCTTCTGAAGCTGATAGTCTCGATCGACCCACTGTGCGCAAACTGCAAGCATTGAATGACGATGCGGCGATGTCCAGAGGTCCGAAGAGATGTGAATAGGGCTCATAGCAGCTGTCATGCTGGTAGACAGCTGCTCTCGATAGAGCTCGTGGTTTGCCGCAATGTATCGCACAACCGTAGTTCGCGAAGTAATAAGCTCGTCCTTGATAGCAGGGTTGCAAGCGAGGCAGAGTTGCTCCAGTTCCTCCCATTCGACAGCTGAGAGAGGCACTCTACGACGAGTGAGTAGTCCTATCAAAGCCTCGCGATAGGCCTGTGGGTTGAAACTACCCCGTAAAGTGTCTGTTGCAGTAATGGGAGTGTAGATAGATGAAATAGACCGCT